CCCCCCCCCAAATACCCAATGATTAATTTACCTTTTGCCAGGTACATGAAGGAGGACTTCTGCTCTCAGAAGCCATTAGCTTAGTCTCCTTTGTAAATACTCTAACCTCATTATGAAAATAACTTTTCCAGCTTAAAGGCTCATTACTGTGAAAGCTACATGAGGACTTGTTCAGAAATGGACCTTCCCAAAAGAGCTACTTTGTGAGACAGAAGGAGCAGCAGCGTGGGCTTCCCAACCTGGAGGTCAATGGCCACAGGCAGGCTGAAGAGAGGCCTGCTCGGGTGAGGGTAGATGGGTAGTCATCGCATCATACTGATTAGATCTATGTTCTGAAATGCAAGTTTATGGCATCTCCTTTGCCAGCAGGAGCTCAAGGAAATTCAGAAGGAGAATTCATTATTTCTAAAGTGTAGCAGAAGATGAGGGACTGATCTTGTTTTCATTAATATGATATTAAGACCCCACTGGGTTCCCCGAACATGTTCCTTGAATGACACTGATCCTCAGTAATTACAGAATGGTTAGAAAATGAAGAATCTTCTCTAATACACACACACACAAGCACACACATGCACACCAAACGTGTGTGTGTGTACCTGAGTGGCTGCGATAGCAGGGTTGAGGATGTTGGGTAGGGGCACCTGATATCTCAATTAAAGGGATGTGGTGAGGCAGAGAGCACATGGACACACATTTCAGGACAGCAGGGTGCCCAGGAACTTTCCATTCAGTTCTCCCTGCTCAATAAAGACTTATTAATGTCTTGAGGAACCAGTATTATTTCACCGGGCACAAGTCATATGACTTTCTTAGGGCCAAACTAAAGAAGAGGGTTGTTCATGGGTTTCCACTGACACAAAGGAGAATCAGCCTGGAACTTAATCATTTCCACTGCACCCAAATTAAAAGATGCATTTGAAATCCTCTCTGTTACAAGTGACAAATGTTGCTCTACTTCCTTTGCAAAGCATTATTCCAGGATCTAGCTGGTCTTATTAATATCATTCAGAATGAGATGAACAATAAATATTTGATGGCTTCCTTCCTACCGCTTCTTGGAAACTGATTTTTGAAGAGCCCCAGGGTGTTAACAGTGATCAAATTATGCAATAAGCCATTTTCCTCTTGAAACAGAAAGGAAGTCCCTGACTCCTTGAACAGGAAAAAGGTAAAACTCCGAGGCCACATCAGACTACCTCACAGAAAGGCTGTTGTGCTTGTACCTGCTGTGTGCCAGGAGGAAGACAGGGAGAAAAGACAATTCTAAGGGTAAAACATGTCCTTGTACCAAATAAAAACACGGTTAAAAAGAGCCTGCATAAAGAGATTTGGAGAATAAAACTATCCAGTTTCTTTAAAATGATATTCGATTGTAGGTCAAGGTGAAATGGTTGTGGGCCAAGGCAGGTTTAAGATGAATGGTATAAATAAGGCAATTAAAATAGAGAGGCTTTGGAAGAGAATCCAACCAGCAACATTCACAGGGGTCTTTAGAACTACTTCTCACCTATCTGTTAGAATAATCCTCTGAAGTAGCAACCAATACCCCACCTATTTAAGTGTCAATTACTATGGCAGATTTTGTAGCTATCAGTTAAAAACTGCAGTCACATCACATGTCCTGAAGCTAAATTTATAATCATTATGAAACTTCAAGCTTTAACTACACTCCAGAGCTTTATAAAATAAGAGACACAAATCACTTGTTGCCGTTGCTATGAGACAAATGTTTACATCACACATTTCTGGAAAAGGAAGGAAAATTATAGGTTCTTACCAAGTAATCATCAGGCTTGATGCCAAAAAGCTCTCTGAAGTATCGGAATGCTAGTGGAGCATATGTCTTAAATCTGAAGTCTGGGTAGTGGTGTGCTGGGGTCAGATTGCTCCCTTCACTGCAGTTAAAATAGTAAAAAGAATAAGAAAAAGAACATTAGGCAAAGACAATTGTGATTCCAAATTCTAGCTCTACTGGTCCTGGGCCAATGGCCCCTCTAGGAAAAATACCCCTTGATGGTGGGTCTCTTGAAGTCCATGTTACAGAGGCTAGTGGCCACCAGGTAAGGACAGGTGCTGACCCTGCAAGGGCCACTCCAAGCAGGTATTCCCTGCCGATCATGCCGTGTCTTCAGTCTGAAAAATTCTCCGCCATCCCCCTGTGCTTCCTTTCTGGGGAAATCAGTCCATCTTCCCTGGTGAAACCACAGTTGACTTGCCTCAGGCATAAGATCCAGGGTTCAGTGCGTGGAATAATTTTAGAAATGCATTTTTTGACCATGAGTTTTGAACACTGGATAAATTCTTTGAACTAAGAATAAGTGAAATAATTTTTAAAATATCTCACCAACAGCAAGAACCACCGAACTGGAAATAGATGGGGGCCTGAATCTGTGAAGTCTTTAAATCCATGATAACAGGAAAAGAGACCTTAACATTTTTAGGGATTTTAAAACCTGATTTCCATTCCCAATTATATCATTTTCTTTTTTGTATTCTCGGTTCACCTTTGAATTTTTTTGCAGTATTTATGATATATGAAAGAGGTAAAGTATAAACCAGTAAATATCCATAACCCCAAAGTGCTGCTTAAGAAATAAAATTTACCCATAGAGGTGAATCCCTTCTGTACTTTTTACTGATCTTATACTCCTCCTTCCCCTTAGAGGCATCCACTGGCCTGAATTTTGATGTTTACCCTTTTTTTTTTTTTTTTTTTTTTTACTACATATAATAATACATTTCACATTACATCAGACAAGTCACCTAACCTGCTCTTGTGGAACATCAAAACTCTACGCAAGTTTCTTTGGTCTGACTTTCATGATACTGCTCCAACAGGTAAGACTGTGTTCCTCTGACTAACATTAAGGCAAGTCTGCACTCTCTCAAATCACTCCGGATACTCAGTGTGGTAAAGATACTCTTAACTCCTTGCAGTCCAGGAAGACCTAGGTTTGAGTTCCAGCTCTACCATTTACAAGCTGTTTCCTCCAGCCGGGTACTGAACCTCTAAAAATAAAATGGCAAAGGGAATAGAAATGTGAGTGGCCTTGCGCCTGGCATGTGGGAAGCCCTCAATATGTTCGGGTGGCTGAGGCTGGGTGGAAAACAGTGCAGAGCCGAACACTTCACATGGAGAATGAGTTGACCATATAGTTGGGGGGAAAAAAGAGAAAACGACAAAAAGGGAAAATACTTGGAACACATATCACAAAGGGCTAACCTCCCAATGTAAAGAGCTCCAGCCAACACTAAAGAAAAAGGCCAAAAAGTTAATTTTTAAAAAAAATAGCCAGAGATATAATGAGGCACTTCACAGAAATGGAAATAGAAATGAATCAAACATATGAAAAGTTGTTTGACCTCAATCATAATAAAATAATGAAAATGTTACTGAGAGACCATTTTACGTATCTGATTAACAAAAAATCAAAATTTTGAGACAGCTCAAGGGAGATTGGCACCGGGAACATTATTAGTGAGAAAGGAAATTGATACTTTTCCTAGAGAGGATATTTTCACAGCTTGTCGACATTACAACAGTCCGTAACTCTTTGAAGCAGCAAGTGCATGCTTATAATGTATGCCACAGGTAAAGTGGCACATGCAGGGTATGACATGTGTGTCCCTGGTTACTCATATAGTGCTGTCTGTGAGGATGAAGGACTGGAAGCAACCCAGGTGTCTCTCCCACACACTGGAATACTATGCAGATGCTCGAGAATGAAATGACATGGCGAGATCATGGACAGGTTGAGAGAAGCACGGCGCAGATACTGTGTGTGGCAAGCCGCCATTTGTATACAAAAGGAAAAAATATATTTTGGGCAGGTATATGCATAAATATCCTTCAAGGATAAACATGCCCCTAGTAACAGTGATACCTGGGATTGGACATTAGGTAAATAGGGCACAGGGACCAAAGGGACACTTTTCATAGTCTGCCTTGTAAAAGCATCAGGAAGGTAAACCCGGCTATGTCTTACTATTCACAACACTGAAACCTTTTTCAAAGGGAGGGTTAAAAGCCATAACCTTACACCCCCTCCCCCAAAACAGAGCACTGCACACTCAGGGCCACAGCAGGCGGGGCTCCTTCCAAGTATTAAGCTGCTCCAGTGAGTAATAAATAGCAGCTTGACATGGATGAAGCTTTCCTGAAGGAAATGAAAATTAATGGGACTCTTGGCCCCATCTGGAGTTTGTCAGGAGGGACAATGCACAAGAGCAGAACCAAACAGCAGGTCCAGCAAGGATCAGCCAGCAGACGCCAACCTGGCAGACCTACTGGCTGTGGGTGTGGGCGCCGCCCACACGTGTCCAACCCAGAGGCTCCTCAGCACATGGATAAACTGCTCCGCTAAGGCAGGTAAGCAGCTGCAACCAACATGGGGCTGCCGGCCAGAGGAGGGGCCGCTGAAGGCTCCTGCGGGCTCTCTTGCCTGAGCTTGGGTGGTCTCCAGCAGAAGACTGTGCCCAACACCTAGACCTACTCGGCAGAAGTCACGTCTGCGGAAGAGCAGACTTCTTCACAAGATTTATATCATGTTTCTTCAATGAACTTATTCAGTGTTTGAGAAAAAACCCCACTTTTCTCTCTTGGCATGAAATAGAGGCTTTGGAAATTTCAGCTGTGAGGTTTTCAGCAGTGGTTCTAGATGTTTGAGTCCCATGAGCCAGTAAAATTTCAACAATAAAAATTTGGAGTCCAACATGAAATTTCCAAATTTATGTTACCAAGTAGGAACCTATACAATTGAGCAAACACACAGACAGTATGATCCCTATCAACTTATAAAGAAAATTGTGCTTTGAAGGCAATTTCAAATAAGTTAAAATGTTATATAATATTCAGCACATGCAATAAATCTTTTATTTTGAACTAAGGGAAGAGGTATGTAACTTTTTTGATAAGAAATCAGGTCTTCCCATCCCCACTACATATACTGAGCAAATACTTGGAGTTTTGACTTGAAGAGACATATCATTGACTTGCCCAGCAATAGCCACGCATCTCACTTAATCCTGAGAAGAGTATTGTGGCAGTTTTGTTTTCTATCCACATATAGTGCAGAATGTCTGTATAGATTGGGGTGGAGATCTTTTTAGAGTCTCTGTTGCAGCTACTCAACTCTGCTGTTGTGGAAAGGCCACAGGCAACATGTAAGTGATTGAACATGGCTGTGTTCCAAATAAACTTTATAAAAAGAGGTAAAGAACCGAATTTGTGCTGTGGACTATAGTGTGCTGACTCTCTGGGATAGATACGTTTCTTGGGTGAGTTTATGTCAGGTATGTCAGCATTACTTGTGAGAAATGCAGGTAGCTGGCTAGTGTGCCAAAGCCATAATATCCAGCACAGATATCTGGCAATGCTTGCATAAACCTGTGACATATATGTTTGCCTGTCATTTAGAATAATGTTTTACCCTCACAGTAGTTCTGTGGAATTCTCTCCCCCAGTGAAGGTACTCCTCAGCTATTTAAATAATCCTGAATAGCACGCCCATCAAAACTATAGGCAGTCCATTTTCTGCAATAATCCTCGCATCAAGCTCAACTCTGTTTTACAAGTGAGGAGATTAAAATGCAGGTGAATCTTTAAAATTCTTCAGTTAGATAATTATTCTGGAAAATGGAAAGATATGTAACTATTACTGCCAGCATTCAAACCTTATTTCCTATCCCTGAGAAGGCAGTGACGGTGCCTCCTGGAGGGCAGCGGAGGAATGAGTCAGAGTTGCTTGTCAAGGGACTGGAGAGGCAGATTTAAGTTCATAATTCTAGGTAAAAGCTGTATACTTTTCCTGATTCAAAAAACCAGAAATGCTGTTCCTGTGTTTTACTGCCATAGTGTAGGGAAAAACAAAACTTTGGATCCAGCCACCCCTAAACTCCAATCCTGGCTTTACCATTTATTGGTTGTATAGCTTTTGATTAAGCCACTTAATATCTCAGGTCCTTAGTCAATTCATATGTAAAATGGGTTTTTTTTGTAAAGATGAATGGTAATAACAATAATTTAATATATTATATAAAATATATCAATAAAACTATGCTTGGTTCATAGTTGGTACTTATAAACTTTACCACTCTTTGCCACCTCTGTTGCAACTATTAAATATCTAAAGATGGTACAAACATTATGAAACATCCTTTCCTCCTAATCTTATTTGCACATGAAAATTTATCTACAGCCTTGAGTTTATGATCCCAGCACAGAATGTGGGGTCAAAATATTAAGATATGGTCATGGTGCTCGACTCATCCACTTTGTAATTTTGGAAGATCATGAAACCAAATCATCAAAAGGGCTTTTATATCACCCTTCAAATTTTAATCAGGTCCAGAGTGTTTTCCATCCATAAAGTGAAATAATCTGTAGAACAAATATATAATATCTAATAATAACTTTGAACCATTTTCAAATAAATAAAAAATAGCACAATACATTTGGTCGCTAAGGGAAACAGATTTTGCAGCTTCACAGCAGTAGTAATGAAAACATCTCAAGGCACCCCAAGCAATTAGTTCTTTTTATGATCTTGGTGAACTCAGGGAATTTTAGAGCCGCCAGAGGCTTCTGAATGTTTAATTTGCTTACGACAAGAGCCAGTCCACCCACCTTTCCTCCTGCTCCTCCCTAGGCAAGTGTAGAGTCTGGGTGTGTAGGAAGGCAGCATTATTGGGCAGCTCTGAGGTATAAAGTGCACAGTTCATTAATTTTGTCATATGTATACCCCAGTGAAGCCAGTCCCACAATCATAACACTGAATTTATTCATCACTTTTTGTGGCATTTTGATTGCTACAGTATCAAGGAGATACAGTAAACCCTCACTTAATGTCATTGACAGGTTCTCGTAACTGCTGAGAAATGACGTGTAACAAAACCAATTTTACCATAGGCCAACTGATAGAAACAAGAGTTAAGTTCCTGTGGTCAACTAATCCATGACAAAGGAGGCAAGAATACACAATGGGGTAAAGACAGTCTCTTCAGCAAAAGGTGTTGGGAAAACTGGACATCTATATGCAAAAAATGAGACCAGACCACTTTCTTATACCATATACAAGGACAAACTCAAAATGGATTAAAGACTTAAATGTAAGACCTGAAACCATAAAACTCCTAGAAGAAAACACAGGCAGTAAACTCTATGACAGCACTCAGCTATATTTTTTGAATATGTCTCCTTGGGCAAGGGAAACAAAAGAAAAAATAAACAAATGAGACGACATCAGACTAAAAAGTTTTTGCACAGAGAAGGAAACCATGAACAAAACAAAAAGACAACGTACTGAATAGGAGAAAATATCTTCCAATAATACATCTGATAAGGGGTTGATATCCAAAATACATAAGGAAATCATACAACTTAATACCAAAAAACCCCCAAACAATCTGATTTTAAAATGGCAGAGGGGCCCGGCCAGGTGTGGTTCAGCCGTTGAGCACTGACCTAGGATCCAGGTGATAGGGGTTCGATTCCCGGTCAGGGCACATGCCCAGGTTGCGGGCTTGATCAATGACTCTATCATTGATGTTTCTATCTCTGTCTCTCCCTCTCTTTTCCTCTTTCTGAAATCAATAAAGATATATTTAAAAATAAATAAATCAATAAAATGGCAGAGGGCCTGGCCAGGTGTGGCTCAGCGGTTGAGCGCTGACCTAGGATCCAGGAGATCGGGGTTCGATTCCCGGTCAGGGCACATGCCCGGGTTGTGGGCTTGATTCCCAGTTGGGGGCATGCAGGAGGCAGCTGATCAATGACTCTCATCATTGATGTTTCCATCTCTCTCTTTCCCCTCTCTGAAATCAATAGAGATATTTAAATAAATAAATAACTAACTAAATAAGTAAGTAAGTAAATAAATAAATAAATAAATAAAATGGCAGAGGACCTGAATAGACATTTTTCCAAAGAGGGCATAAAGAAGGCCAATACATGTATGAAAAATGATCGGCATCACTAATCTTCAGAGAAATGCAAATTAAAACCACCATGAGATATCACCTCACACCTGTCAGAATGGCTGCCATCAGTAAATCAACAAACAAGTAAGTGTTGGCAAGGATGTGGAGAAAAGGGAACCCTTGTGCACTGTTGTTGGGAATGCAGACTGCTGCAGCCACTGTGAAAAATAGTATGAAGGTTCCTCAAAAAATTAAAAATGGAACTGCCTTATGACCCAGCAGTCCCACTTCTGTGAATATATCCATAAAAAAATGAAATCTTGCTATTTGTGAAAATACAGATGGACCTAGAGGAAGTGAAATAAGTCAGACAGAGGAAGACGAATACCATATGATTTCATTTATATGTTGAATCTAAAAAATAAAATAAATGAACAAACAAAACAGAAACAAACTCATATATACAGAGAGAACAATTTGATGGTTGCCAGATGGGACGGGGGTGGGGAGATGGGTGAAAAAGGTGAAAGGATTAAAAAGTACAAATTGCCAGTTATAAAAATTGTCATGGGGATGTAAAGTACATCATAGGGAATATAGTCAATAATATTCTAATAACTATGTATGGTGCCAGGTGGGTACTAGATTTACTGGGGTGATCACTTTGTAAGTTACATAAATGTCTAGTTACTATGTTGCATACCTAAAACTAATATAATATTGTATATTAACTGTAACTGAAAAATAAATTATGAAAGTGCCAATGAAGATCTTATTTATGTGCTCTTTACTGTAAAGTATCTCTTACAGTGTCATGTATAATTTAGTTGCTAAATAGATATAATTTTAATATTTAAGATAAATTTTAACATCATTTGGAGTTTTATTAGTTGTTAGAATCATGTAATAAGTCTAAGAACAAATTTTGCTATTTACTAGAAAGTTTATCCCTTAAAATGGTAAGTAATGTGCTAGGTCATTGGTTCTCTTTTATGTACTTAGAATCACCTGGAGGGATTACTAAAACAGATTCCTGGATCCCACCTCCAGTATTTCTGATTCAGTTGACTTAGGGTGGAGCCCAGGAACCTGCATTTCTAACAAGTTCCAAGTGATGCTGATACTGCAGGCCTGGGGATCACACGTTGGGCCATGCTTTCTCCAGTGCCCATCAATGGTTGGCTCTGTTGACTGGACGCTATGAGGAGAAGAGGTCATCAAGGATGGAGCACCCTGCCCTTCTTTATAAATCATCTTTAGCTGTAACTGCTCCCATCACCTTGAACTCACTGCCAGACACCCTCCTACAAGAGGCCTCCATTCCCCTTGTTCTTTGTAGATGAATAAAAATAAGATTGACGTCTGTGAAGACCGTGAGAGCAAGAACATCCTGAGAACACATTTATATGAATTATGAGTCTAACAGATCATACTAAAAGATTAAGACATACTCATGACCTCCTGATTTTATAAAAAATGTAGTTAATGCAATGATAAACAGACCATTAAAAACAAAAACACTGGACAATTTCCAGCTATAGAAAGGAGTGTCATGAACAAACAGGATTATATCTTGGGCCTTGGGGTTGTCCATTTTCTGTATGGAAACTAGTTCTCATACCTGCTAAAGGACCCTAGAGAAACAAACTTCAAAAATTCTGATAGATCAACTTCATTCTTCAGCCAAGAGCATTTAAGGGGAAATGTGGCTGGCTGGATTCATAGCCGACTTTCAGTTATTTATGGGCCCCTTTGTAATTACGTGGGCACAGTCACCTACAGGCTTTACTTCCAGGCAGTTGACTGCTGCTGGACATACAGATAAATATAAGCAGCACTCCTCTAGAGAATTTTTTAAAAAAAAATAAGGCAATGAGAGCACCGAGAGTAGAAGTCACCCCAGCCATTCTCACACAAGTCCAATAATTCATAACAAAAAGTGGCTTGTTTTAAAGAAACATACTTTAAAAAATAAATGTGTCTGACAAGTCAATCTTCATAGCCCCAAAGACAAAATAATTGCCTCTAAGCCCCCAAAACAATTTTTTAAAAATTTGGTAGACAATTTTCTTTATTTGCCAGACCATGAGTAAAACACATTTAGGTAAAAGCAGATATGTTATAATAGAAAAATATGCTGCATCTAGAATCAAATATTTATATTAAAAAAGCCTGGCGTAGTGATGACATTTCCAACTTAATAATGATTACTTCTCTTCCTACACAAGCCAGTATTGGACTTCAATTTTTTGTTTATTCACTTTATTTTGGTAGAGCAGCCATTATATACAGCTTGCCCTTAACCATGCTTATGAGTACAGGGCTGTGTAACCATCACCATCATCCATCTCAGATTTATTTGTCGAATTGACTTTTTCCCCCAAATACAATCAAGTTAGAGGTGGAATGTACAGGTAATTTGGATGTTTTTGCAAATATGGTATCAAAATACTGGGATTCTCATAAGGTTTCTTGAGGAAAGTTAAGTTGAACAAGTCAAGTTAAAAAAGGAGCTATGTGAGTGAACTCAGATGCAAGGCCCAATTGTGAGCCCCCCCAGCCCAGCCCATCTTTCAAATTAGGGGTAACAGAAACCTGGTACCAGCTGCTGCTTCTTGGGTGTCCTCTTATTCTAAACCCACGCAGGTGTTACTCTGTGACGACTGCACTCTTTCCCATTGAATCTCAGTCTCTCTCCATATAGTCCTTCAGGCATTATCGCAACTAATTACAACTGGCCCGCAGGATGAAACCTATTTCCACCTCCACGTAGAAAATGCAGGCCACCTGATGCAACAGAAAGGCACCATCAGTTGGGCTGCTCTGGGCCTGCAGAAGGTCCAATGTGTGTATCAACACGTGCACTGGTAGAAAAGCCTCCAATGTGGGGATGTTGCAAGGAAGGCTCTTTAGCATGAAAATATCACACACAAAATAAATCTTACCTGGGTAGGAACACACTCTCCACCACATAGAAGTCTTGCATGAGAACATCGCGGTCCGGCTTGGAGGTGAGGTTGCCCACCGTGTACCCTATTCCCAGCTGGATAGCACCTTTGATAGCAGATGATGCAGTCTGCAAGGCAAATGCGGGCTCAGAATTAGCCTCAATGGTCAGGGCCTCGTTCAGTGTACCAGCAAAGCAGGAGTTAGACTTTCCTTCTTGCTCCTAAGCAACGAGGAAGCCAGGCTCAGGGAGATGACAGGCTGCTGCTTTCCCTGGAGAGTTTATTCCAAGCACTAAGGACCCTTCTTGTCATGAAATGATTTTTGTGGTAATCTTTCCTACCAATGTTTTTAAGGTCCAATTATAGTCCCAAATCTCCATCTTTCTTCTATTGAGAACTTAGAAACTTGGCAGAACGCTTTCAATACGCAGCATCATAATTTCTACCTAAAGCTAAATCATACACTCATATTTTTCAAAAATCAGAAGTTCTATAATGTACCTATGGATCAGGAAGACTACTTTATCTTCATAAAAAATGAGAGAGCAAAAAAGTAATTTGAGTCTTTGGAATACAGTAAATTTAATTTGGAAGTTGCTTGCTAATATTGTCATGGGTCCACAGTCAAAGTTTCCTACACTGATCTGTGATAAAACACATAGAACCAGGTCACCAGTATTCACAATGCACTACTTTTCTAATACTATTCCGTAATTCAACTGACATAATGTCAACTTGGGGAATTATTGTCACATATATGTGTATATGTAGCATGTGTACATGTATGTATATGTGAATATATATATGTGTGTATATATATAGTTTTAACCAACATAATAGATGATATAGAAGAATAAATTGACTTAGGAAAATGTGAATGCATTCTTCTTAATGGTGAAAGTGTGTCACATTTCTATGCCTCGCAGTGCCTAATGTAGTACTATGTATACAGAGGGAGCTAAATACTTAAATCAGTAGTTCTCAACCAGGAATATTTGGCATTGTCTGAAGACATTTTCTGGTTGTCGTAACTAGTGGTGGTGGTGGTGTTGCTACTGGCATCTAGTGGGTCGAGTCCAGGGATGCTGCTAAACATGCTACAATGCCCAGGACAGCTGCTCATCACAAGGAATTATCCAGCCCAACTATCAGCAGTGCTGAGGTTAAGAAACCCTGACTCAAATAATATAAATCATCTGTTTTGTAAAACAATACTTTCTTTTTGAATTAACATGTTTACTTAACACCCCCCAACACACATTCTTTATTCTTTGTTATTTCTTCACACTTTTAACAAAGAACACCTCTCTCTTCTTGAAAAAATGTATCCTCTTGATTTCCATGATAGAACATGGTCTTGGGACAACTTTTACCTTTCTTGGTGGTCTTTCATTCCTTCCCTGACTTCCCATTCTATTTGCTATAATTGCAGTGTCCCTAAAAGCTTGATCCTTGAGCCTCAGATTTCCTTAATTATGAAGCTAATCAATCCATTCTTAATGGCTTCAAAAGCTGCGTCTATGCATGTGACTCTCAGACCCTTTAAAGCTATTTGGATGCTGTTCTATTATCACACACCCAGTATACACAAAACCAAACTAACATCCTACAACTTTCCCACCCCACCCCCAAGACTGGTTTCTCTTCCTAGGCCACTGTAATCCTCAGTCACCCAAGGCTGAACCCCAAACAAACCACATCCAGCACAGGGCTAGGGCCCCAATAAACACTTGTTGACGTCACCTCAAATGGCCACGATCAATCAGTCCTGCTTAGTCACCTCCACTGTCACTTTCCCATGGAGTCATCATTTAATCCCTTTGCTTACTCCACGCAAATATGACATAGCCCTTAGTCTGTGGACAACTACCTACTACCTACCCTCCTCCCAGTGGAGGTGGAAAATGTCTCGGTGGTTTTCTTTTCTCATGTGCCTTTTTACTTAAGTTCCTAGGGCAGCAAGCTGGCAAAAGGCTGAAACTCAAGCCCACAGTGAACTAGTGCTTTAAAAAAGAAAGGAAAAAAAGTTTGCTATTTTAATACTCCCTGGCTGAGCTCTGCAATGCCACCAGTTGGCATCGGTGACCTTTTGTACCAGCAGCTCTGACTTCTGAAGGCTGATGTGATTTTCATTTTAAGCTCGCATAAAAATTCAAAAGGCATCTCTTCTCCTGTCCCTCACTCACAGAGGTATGGCACACGATGTGACGTCAGCACGTTCCAGACGACCCGACTCCAAAACGTTCTGTTCCAGACCTATCAATAGACTCACATGCTCTCCAAGTCTGCTTTCTCCCTCCCGACGCCCCACCTGACTCTGTATTTCTGCTTAATTTAGTCATTTAACAGTTCTTGGGCTGGAACACCTGTCAAACAGATGGAGTAGCCAAGTCTTTGTTGATGGCCCCAGCCCCCAGCAATAGAAAGTATTCAAAGTTGTAGGAGCCTATATCCGGTGTTTTCAAACTCTAGAAAACAGGAGGGTTAATGAAACACTTGTTAAAATAGCCTGAAGGCAAAACTATGGAGACAGTAAAAAGATCAGCGGTTGCCAGAGGTTGGAGGAAGGGAGGGATGATTAGGCAGAACACAGAGGACTTTCAGGGCCAGGAAAATACTCTGTATGATACCATAATGGTGAATATATATCATTATGCATTTGTCTAAGCCCACAGAATGTACAACCTGAGTGAAACATAATGTAAACTATGGACTCTGGGTGATTATGATGTGCTCATGTAGGTTCATCAGTTGTTAACAAATGCACTATTCTGGTGGGGGATGCTGATAGTGGGGGAGTCTGTGCATGTGAGGGAGGTAGATGGGAAACCTCTGTACCTTCCTCTCAATTTTTCTGTTAACTTACACTAAAATAATGGACTTAAAAAAAAAAAAGCCAACAGGCATTGAAAACCAAAACTAAAACCAAACCAAAGCCAAAACCAGACTGATGGGTTGCAGCCCCAGAATTTCTCATTGAGAAGGTCTGGAGTAAGAGGCTCAAGAATCTGTTTTTGCTTTAAGGGGCACTGAAAAAATCTTTCTTCTCTGGTGTAAGATCATATTTTGAGTCCCTGAAGGAATGAGATTTTGGAAAGGACCTGTTGACATCTTTTTAGTTTAAACAAAAAACAGACTTGTAAGGCTATTACTTTTCCCATCAGCCTCCTTAAAATTCAACTGCTCTGATGGGAGAAATACTAAAAATTGCAAAAAACGTTAATCTTTTTTGATCAACTACTAGTGCCAGGCACTTGATGGATAACCACAATTATTATCGCAATCTATCATAACACAGCATATACTTATGCAGTGTTTACGAAATGACAGGCTTTTGGTTCTATACACGCTTCTATCCTCACCAGGACCCTATAAAGTAGGTACTATTGTTATCCCCATTTTACGGGCTCAGGGAGGTTTAGTCACTTCTCCTAGGTCCCACGGTGCAGAGGTGGAGGGGACTCATCCCCGGGGCGTCTGGCTCTGGAGCCCGAGTTATGAACAGGCGCACAGCTGCTTCTGTCAGAATCTCTGAACTCACTGAACCCTTCCAAGGCTCTGCAAGTTAGAAGCCACCACGCCACTTACAGGCAGGGGACTGAAGGCCCACAGGGTTGAGAGCCTCGCCCCCTCACACGGCGCGTGTGCGGTCAGAGCCCACGCTGCTCCTACATTTGTTCGCTTGGGTTTTCGCCTTTTCAGAGTGAGCCTAGGATCAGAGTGGGAAGCGCTCTTTACAGCCTGGCTGTCTGACCTCGGCAAAGGTAGCCATTCCTTTTGATGAAACAGGGATAAAACATTTTATTTGCTTCTAATCACGTGCAACCGGGGGCATGTCCAAGAAAAACTTGTAAATCACTTGGCAGACCAGGATAAACGCCACCGCTAATGTCACTGTGAGTAACATGGGGAGGTATAAACACGAGGAAGTGCTTTGCTGCCGCAGGAAGAGTGACACCTCTGAAGTCTCCTCCTCCCTGTCTGTGTGTAAAAATAAATGCTTTAGCCCCGATGCACTGGGTGCAATTAAAAAGCATCGTGTCTCCTTCAAGGCAGTGCCTCGTGCTCACTGTGGCATGTGGTGTCTGGAGTCATGGGAGTAAAGGTCCCATCACCTGTCATTTTCCATTGGGCTTCAGGCAGGTGGCAGGCAGGTGGGCGAGGCCGCCGTATTTTCCAACACAGCCCCTCCTGAGCAGGATGCGCTTTAAAGCCGTCCAACAGAAACACTGCCTGGAGGGTCTCTGATTAGCAGATTAGTAAGTCCTGATGAACCAGTAAGTCCTTTAGAACCAGCAGTTCTCTCCCTGCAAACTCTGAGCCACAAGCCCTCTCCTCCTTTTTCGGGGATACCCACCAGCCTTCTAACAAGTCCATAGCGAGTCAATAGCTTCACACACATGCTCAGCCCTTCCGATTTCCTCTGCATGGCTTTGCATAGGCTCTCAAAGTACTGAGTCAGGATCATTTTCCCTTCTCACTCCAAAGGGGGACCCCTGACTCCTGTAAAACATACAGCTCTGAATCCCAGAACACAGGAAAACAGTCTATTTTTGATTCAGGATTTTCCAAAAGCTAAGTGGAGGCAATAAACCTGGATACTAGAAAAACCTCTAAAAGGTTCTCTACTTGGAGAGAGAACCATATAATGTCACAAAAGCAAACAGCTAACATTTACTTCCATAGCTCCTCTTGACCAACCCAAACTTGTTCAGGGATGATGGCAATGCTAAGAGGAAAATGAATGTCCGCTTGCTTTTGTGTAATGCATTATATTTTTCCCAGCACTATTTCTTAAATGACTGCATTTGATCATCACTGTTGTTACCTAAGTAGGGTTTATAATGCACATTTTATAAAGAAACTGTGGCTTTGGGAGATTAACTTGATCTAAATTCCTTTTCTAGAGTGTGACAGAACCAGGAATGATATTCTGAGCCCGGAGGCCCCAGGCCAGTGCTTGCCCACTGCACACTGCTTTAGCTGCCTGAATTTTCTCTGCTGGAGATGAACCTGATTGAAGCTGAGAAGTACTTCGACTATGAGATAATCATGACGGTAACAATGAAGCTAACCATCTACATACACTGGCTATTAGGGAGGCAATGAGCCTGACAACAGTAAGAGT